ATCAGGTGCTCTGTGAAGGCTAGGACGGCGGAGGTGGTAATTAGCCTGTTTCCAGACTCATTCTGTCTGTGCGTATGTGAAATATTACAAAGCAACACGATTCTTCACAATAGTCATTGCTGTACTCAAGCACACCCCTTCCTCAATAAAAAGTGTTTTCAAGGGAGGGATCTTAAAATGCTGCCTTGACTTTTTATATGTGTGATTAATCACAGAGATCTCAGGAAGAAGATGACCTCGAAAAATTAGGCTACTTCAGTGTCTTCAGGCATTTCCATGTATAACTATCTGAAAGTATGAACTTAACTTTTCGCATCTTCAAAGGAACAGACCTTTATTCTAACTTATTGCAGTGTCTTAGTGTATGTTCTATAGATTACTTTATCTTAAGCAAATAACACTAGGATATATTCATTACTGAGAAGAATGGAGTTATGGTACATATTAATGGATGTTAGCTGTCAGATAATTCGATTAACGTTGAAATAAAATAGTTTCGTTTTATTTTAAATAAATTTGCTTTATTCTCTTCTGTGGCTCCTGATTGGAAAAATTAACCTTTTATCTATAGATGGAACTTCCTTCTGGGAGCTGCATTTGCTAATTTTAACACACAAAAAGTGAATGTATGTGTAGAGAAATTATTCAGTAAAGATGGTTTTCATGATTATCTTTTTAAAGTGTGTTTAGAGAAAATCTTGGGGGAGTATGTGGGAAACCAAAACACAGATAAGCACAGTCACGAAAACTTCCAGTGTAGATGTCCTGGTCAGAGTTCTCCAGAGAAACAGAACCAATAGGATATAGATAAATAGGTAGATAGGAGAGATTTATTATAGAAATTGGCTCATTGGCTCATGAGGCTGAGAAGTCCCACAATCTGCCCACAGGCTGGAGAACCAGAAAAGTCAGTGGTGTAATTCAGTCCTAGCCTGAAGGCTTGATAACCAGGAGCTCTGAGGTCAGAGGGCAGAAGAGGATGGACTTCCCAGCTCCAGAAGACAGAGTTCCTTTGGGCCCTCAAGGGACTGGATGTTAAGATCGCGTAGTCTCTTCTCTTCAGATGCTAATCTTTTCCAGACACACCCTCCCAACACATCCAGAAATGTTTTACCAGCATCTGGGCATCCCGGGGACCAGTCAAGCTGACACCTAAAATTAGCCGCCACAGAGTATGTTCAGGTTTGGTGGTTTATTTTCCTTTTGATTCTAAATGCAGACATCCTTAAGAAATACTTTTAATTTTAATAATAGGCGTTTAAGTTCAGAGCTTGTTTCCAAGTATCTGAGCGGTTGCAAATAAACCAATGAGTATATGGTTATAATTCATTTATAATCCTTTTGCATATATTTGTTGGGGTAAGAGAATTTACAGAGGAAAGATTTTTTAGACTTGGTATTGGGATTATATATTTATTAGTAATTTCTTAGGAAAATATACATTAAAAACCACACTAATACTTTGAATACAAAATAAAGAAATCCATCCCTTAAATTTTACAGGTGCCCACACCCTATACCCCAATCCCAGGACTGAATGGGGCTGATAGTAGCAATTGAAGTAACTCCCTGGAGCATGAAAGGCAGGCCTTCAGGTCATAGAAATTATGAGACAAGATGAGAAACAGCAGGAGAAAACAAAGTTTACAAAAATTCTAAATTTATAAAGATTTGAAACTCACACTGCACCTCTTATTTTATTTTCAGATTTGAACTGTGCACGGTTGTTTAATTTAGACTAATTCCCTTTTTGTTATTTTCAATTTTGCATTCTTTAAAAAAAGTAATTTTAGTACATGCTTTTATACCATGAAGTGTAGACAAATGAAAAACTGAAAACTGCTACTACTTGGTGTTAGAGGTTTCATGATGTGACTTAGAAAATTAATTTTACTGATGTCACCAGGTTGCCCCAAAACCCTTCAGGGACGGCAAGTATCTCTTCTTTACAACAAGACATGACAGACCGGGTGGGAAAAGTGTAAGGGAAATGAATTTTCTGTGACTTCGGCTGTTCACTTTTGTGTGAATTATTTCTTTTGAAAAATGGGAGATGCATGGGGAATCTCCTGAATTAGTGAATGTTTAAAAATACTTGAAATGATAATGGATATTGATGTAATCCCTGTGTTATATCGTGAAATATCAGGGGAAAGTGGGGAATGGTGAAATTACCCAAGTGAATCTGGTGTTTCTGTGAAGGGACAGGTTGTGGAGTCAGACCTTCTACAACAGGGAAGGAATTTGTGGTGTTTTTAGTTTGTCCTGCCTGGGGTGCCAGTTTGGTTTCCAGTTAGGGAATGTACTGGGAGCTGTGATACCCAGTGGTGCCTAAATATGTCAGTAGGTTCCGATAGTCACACAAAAATGACCGTGAAGATGAACAGCTACCATTTGTTGTGTACTTCCTGTGAGCCCAGCACTGTTCTAAACATTTCCTGTGTTAATTTATTGAATCCTCTCAGTACTATCATTATCCGCACTGTATGAATGAGGAAATGAGACCCAGAGAGGTCAAATTAATAACTTGCCCAAATTCTTATTGCTAGTAAGGGACACAGCCAGAATACAAACTCATAATGCCTGATTACAGAAACCACATCCTTCTATGGTAAATGATATTGCTGCCAAAGTATTACATTGTGTTATAACATATTATGTAACAGTATCTGATAAACAAGCGGGATCCAAAATGCACAGACACGTAATGTACACATGTGTGTACTCTTTTCCCCTTAAACAACCAACCAGAGAAGTGATTATGCTTAGAATATATTGAATATGCTAGCTTAATAATTCCCCAGTTACTTTCCCTTAAGTCAAAGCCTTTTATATTTTGCAAAGAATCTGTGGAGGGTCCTTTGGAAGATGATCGAGCAAAAGGCAGCAGAACCACTTAGCTACTAACATGGGTATCGGAGGTCAGAGAAGTGGCTTTGATTTGAGGAAGGTTACCTAAATGGTACTCAAGTACTTTAAAAACAATTCCTGAACAACGAAGGGCAGTTTCCACGACCTTGTATACCCTGGAGATGGAACAAGAGGAAATGGATTTTGCTCACAGAAAGGCAGAACTGGTTTAGACATAAGTAAATCTTTCCAGGATTTTATGAAATCAACTTAAGCCATACAGATTCACTCAGTCCTGCTCATCACAGCACCTTTTAAGTGCTAACAGGGTCACTAAAATTCCTTTCATTCATTCATCTTTGAAGTGCTGATCTATGTAATTACTAACCTTCTAATCATCATAGTACTATTGTCTAAACTCACCACATTTTCTAGGCCATTCTTAGTTGTGAGACCTACACTACAGGTAAAGTAGGGCTCTGAGGAGCATAAAGAGTCATTTCTTCATGATTCTTGCTTATTTTTTAAAAACACAAAGGTGTGGATTTGCAACACTGTGACCTATGTTCTGTCAAGTTATAATCTCATATCTATATAATTTGTTTGATCTTAACAAACTTTTAAAAAAAGTTCCCATCAGTTCAACAATTTATTCTAGAACACTATAAAGTTTTATCCTATCTTCCAAGGTTCTTCATCTGTTTTTACAGGTTTGGTGACATTTCAAGGTCAATGACTATTGAGGATAAATGGAAGGAAACTGGTTAAGATGAAGCCTAAAGGATTAGGTTATTTAAACGTGAGACGTTTCTTGACAATGAGGGTTATTAGATATTAGACTTTAGAATAGTAATGATCCTCTTTGGGCTGATGGTTATAAACATTCTCATTTATCAGACAGGAAGTAAATGTAATAATTTCGGAAGACTTAGGGATGGAATAGATGACCTTAAAAACTCATTCCATGGATACGGGTAAGACATATACGGTATTGGGCATGAAGTAATTAAATGGTATCCATTCCCAGAGTGGAAGAGATTGTCTGATGTGACAAACAGGAAGTGTCGTGCCCTTGAGTCCACCCAGTGGAAGAGCTATAGGTGACCCTTCCTATCTGAGTGATTGTAAAAGCCCAACCCTCCCACCATTCTACCCAGGATAACGCAGTCCCTTTGAGAAATTACAGACACGCAGGACTCAGGCTGGACCTGCAGAGCTGAAGAACGCTGTCAGCGAAGCCAGAGCTTAATTAGAAGAGCAAACCTTTCATGCATGTTCGTTGACACAGATTCATGCTTAACAAATACATTTTGAGTAAGTGCAAGCAAAGGCTACGGTTATTAATGAGACGACTCAAATGCTTACTCCCGGTGTCTTGGTGCGCCAGGAGCACGGCAGGGTGGCTCAGACTGCATACCCTGGAGTCTGTCTACTCGCATGTGAACCCACTATACAAACTTCATGGTTTGTTATGCAGAACTACAAATTGCTAATTGTAGGGGGAAGTTTTCATTTCTGGGTGTGAATTTCATCTTCTTCGATGGAGTCTTTTATTATGGTCATAAAAGGCAGAGCAGATGGGCAGGGTACACAATCCTAGCACCGGAGCTGAAGGCTCCCAGATAGTCCATGGATCCATTCTGATGAACTAGTGCTGATGCATCAAGCAAAATAACGGGAATATCACTCCTGGGCCCAAGTGTTGTTGCATGGGATATTTGGATTTCATTGTTCATATTTGTCCATGATGAGATATTGTCAGAAAAATCTGTTTGTGGAGCCAGAACTTCCAGCTCTTGCTTTGTAAGTAGTTTTTCTTCTAATGAGAACTTTGTTCCTCATGACCACTATTATTATTTTCAATTTATTTATACTGTATCTGTATAGCTATATTTCTATAGATGATATTTACATATATCGTGTATATATGTAGAAGTGCACAAATATATATGTATAAGTGAAATTTTACATATGGAAATACACCCATGCACCACCACCTAGGTCAAGGTAGAGAACATGTCCAACAGCTGTCCTTTGTCCGTTTTCATCTCCTTCCAAACATAAGCCCTACCATAACCTCTATCCCTGTAGAACAGCTTGCCCATTCTTGAACTTTATAAAAATGAAACCATACAGTTTGTATCTTTTTGCATCTGGCTTTTTTTTTTTCCCTCAACACTATGTCTGTGAGATTCAGCTACATCATTGCATGGAGCCATAGTTACTTCTTTGTCATTGGTAATGCACTGTTCTACTATTTATTTACTTGTTGTAGTATAAAATGATTGCATTGTGCCCAGCTTGGGGCTAGCTGCCACATACATGCCTGTATATGTTCTCTGGTAGACTTGAGCACTTATTTCTATCATGTGACTCCTTGGTGTTAAGCAAAGTATGCCAAATAAGGTACCTTTCTCCTTATCACAAATATCTGCACATCTTCCTAAAGGGAGATTAACTAGCATTAGAAAATCATCCACTTAAAGTTTCTTTGTTTGGGAATTCTGCTTCCTTGTTCATTGGATATGGTACTTTATCACCCCAATAAAGTCTCCACCTTACCAAGAGAGCAAAACCAAGTTGTAGAGATATCCCATGAGACTTAAGAATGAGGATTTACCAGGATTATGCCATTGGCAGAGACTGTAAAAAAATAACTTACCATAAGGCCACCCTCTCAACCCAAATTCTCTGCTTCAGAAAATGTAATACAAACAGTTCAGAATATCTCCAAAATTACCTGCAGCAATTTCCAACCCTTCCCTACCAAAAAAAAAAAAAACCTAAGAAGTATGCAAAACTGCTTTGTCACTGCAGCTCTGATCACTGAGAGAGATACCAGTTATGCCTTGGGTCTCAGGACACTTTCCTGCAGGCAGAGGGAGGAAAGACAGTGTGAATCATGTCTATGCATGCTTAGGTGTTGCCTTTGATGAAGCATAATGAGTTGGAAACTTATTTTGTTTGGTCTCGGGCTCAAAATTAATCTAGCCCAAGGTTAAGAAGACCCTGAAACCCAACTCAGTGAGTGATGTCTCCTTCCTCCCGTTGCTCAGACACGACACCTGGGGTTTATCCTTGGTTTTCTTTCCTCAAACTCATCTCCAGTCCGTCATCAGCAAATCCTACTGGCTCTCTCTTAACTGGAGCAGCCCACCCATGGGCATTTCTGAGTCCACATAGGAGTTCCTGCCTTTGACCTGTTTCTATATTCTACTGTCCCTGTTGCAAATAGAATTGGTTTTCTGCAAATATAAACTAGATAATGACATTCTACTGTTAAAAGAAAAAAAAAGAAAATACAATAAAAACTTCCCTTTACACTTAGACCAAAATCTTTTTTGGTCAAGAAAGCTCTAGATTCTCAATCTTGATTGCACAGTGAGAATCACCTGGAAATTATGAAAATACTAACTTAGCTGGGCACATTGCATTTTACGGTTCCCTGGAAAGTTCCAGTGTTCACCTGAGATTGAAAACTCCTCCTCCAGGGTCCCTCCTCCTCCCACGCCCCACCCCCACATTGCCTTCTTGATATTTTCTGAACATCCAAAGATCATTTCTGTCTCCAAACATGGTTCACTCTTCCCTCAGCTCTTTGAAGGATCTAGTCTTCCACGCGTTTAAATCTCTGTTCAAAATATTAACTTCACTAAAACATTTTCCTTGGCTAACCTAGTTAACCACTCCCTGTTTCTTTACCTGATACATTTGTAGCATTTATGTGGAATTATTTTCTTTCTTTCCTGTTTGTTGTTGGTCTTCCTCACAGGACTGGCAGCTTCATGAAGATGGACGCTGTGTCTGTCCCATTCACTGAAATGATGGGTACTATTTCTCTAATTTGTATATTTTGGGTGAATAAAAGGATAAATCAAGATTCTGGGATCAAGAATTGCTACACTAGGTCCTTGTGGCTTATGGAATTCTTTATTCAGAAGGCTTTTGTTGTTGTTCTATTTGCAGCCTTGGACTTTCCTACTGGAAATAGTCAAGGAGACTGTTGCTTTTATTTGTTTAACTGTGTTGCTATGTTCTTCTGTTTTACTTCCTGCCTGAGATACAGACCATCTGGTTGGACTTGCAAGTGAGTTGGCTGACTCCATGGTAAGGATTCTGTGCTACATGTCTCTCTGTTGAAGGGGTGGGATCCACCACTTGTCTTAAGAGGAAGGTACCAGGGGGTAATCCCTGGGCTATATGCTGAAAGCCAGTCACATTCTTTCTCTTCATTCGTGTGTCCCCTTTCATCTTCTGATGTGAAAGCATTGCTCTTCTCCCTTCCTGATCCAGTGGGAGGCATTTGCTTACAGGGGACTTAACCTTCTGCCCATCTCCATCCCCGTGATTTGGGTCTGGAGTCCCGGTCACTCACTAAGTGGTCCATGATGGCTACATCCCAGCTCCACGGCAAATGCTGCAAATCTTCCTCCTGCATTAGAACTTGAATGAGAGCGCTTAGGGTTGCACAGCCTGTGAGAAGAGCTGAAGTCTGAACTTGTCATTTGACGGCAAGAACAGAGCACTCCATATTTTATGCTACTCTTCTAAGGCTTGGAGAGAATCTGCTGAGAGAGTGAGAGGGCTGACAGAACCTGGGAGAAACTCTAAAACCAAGACATAGAAAGAATGAAAAGCAGAGTGAGAAATTTTGCTTTGGGTTAGTGAAGTGAACAGACACCCATCTGGCTATTTTAAGCAGAAAGGGATTTACCAGAGGGAAATAAGTGCTAGTAAGAACGTAGACTATATGATGACAAAACAGTGGGAACAATCATTTTTCTTTTTAAATTGAAAAACAGTGAGAAAAAAATCAAAGATGTCCTAAGCTTATGTGGGCAGAATCCTTTTTCAATGAGAATGATTCTGAAACACAAAATGTGAAGTCTGTGACACATGAACAACAATGAACAAGAAAATGATTACCCGCCTCCCCAGATTCTCTGTTTTTCCTCCGTTAGATGCTTTTCCCCCCTTAAATTACAAAAGTAATATACACACAATAGCAAATCAAGCCACAGAAACGTGTAGAGAGAGAAAGTTGACTAATACACCCGTGCAATTTCTCTAATTCTATTAACCAGTGTTAATGGCTTTTCATCAATCAACACATTTTGAATTCAGATAATATATGTTTATTTGTGGGAGAAGTTACAAAAGAGAAACTAGAAGTAGAATAGCACGCCTTCAAAAGAAGTTCATTTCAGAGGATTACTGACAGAAATGCAATGACAGCTGAAATCCTTTATGGACTTATGAATAAAAGGATTTGGAACAACCAAGTTACCTTTTTGATATTTTGTTAGCTAATTCAAAAAATAAATTCTTATTGGTATTATTCTGGAAAGAAAAGGAATGCTTATTAAGGAAGACTGTGAACTACTTAAGGTCTAGTATTATCACGACACCTAGTAAAGAACCTCACACGTGGTGAACATTTTCTACGTGTTCAGTTGAAACAGGAGAAAGACCATGTAAACTCTTTTAAATTCCAGGCTTCTTTTTCATAATGTTAGCAGAGTTCTCATTTTACCTGTTACAGTTATTATTTTTCTCCACTATAATCATTAAAATAACACATAACATGTTTATATTCAATTTATTGATGTGTTGCGTCTAAATGACCATTGCTCCATTTCGGAAAAGTCCTGTGTGTTTAAGAGCTTGATGTATTTTCTCTTTGCTTTATTTTGTGATGATTGAATATTTTTTAGAATGTATGTTGCAAACCTTCAATATTCCATTTGTATAATAGTTCAAACAGATTTTCTTATTAGCTTGTGGCTGGTTTTTTGTTAGCTAGGTTTCTCCTTCTAGTTCTCTTTTCCTCCCTCCTTCTCTTCATCAGGAAATCAAGGCCCCGTAATAGGGGATTGGGTTATAGTTACTGAGGTGCAGTACCCATCCTGTTTGCATATGACTTAAATGATGACCAAATCCACAGCTCAACCAATTGGTTTTTAATGAGATTCTTGCAGATTTATATTTTAGTTTGTGTCAGAAATAGGATTCTTTTGCATCATTAACCATGGAAAGGTTAAGGAAGAGAAAATGGAAAGTGAGAGGTTAAAAATATATAAGGTTAATTGAAATTTCAGGTTCTTCTGCAATTAAGGCAATTCCAGCTCAATTTGGTGACAACGAAACATGCTTTGGATTTGTGTTAGCTGTGGTTTTGAGGTGCAGATTTTTTTTCATTCTGGTTAGTTCTAATCTTGCTAACGATACCAATGATTCAGAAAAAATTTCATTTCCATTTGGATGTAGGCAGTTTCTTTAGTATAAATTTGAAAGCAAATGCAGGACTTTCTAAAGCTAGACCTTACTTCTTTTCTTTCTGAAAAAGAGATGGTCAATGACAAGAGTGAAATTATCTTGATCTGAAAAATAGAGCTTTAGTTAAAGAATGTCAGTTTCTTGTCCTAAAAGAATATTTTTAAATATAGTCTTATGTGGATGGTTGAGAGGTTGTAATAAAGATTAGTACATTACTTTCTTTTTATATTTATTAAAAAAGTAAAACTGATGGATTGTACTTATTATGAAATACTACTGAATATATCAGTAATACACATTTTTATTGGCTGCCAAATTTTCTAGCAAATGCTCCATGACACATGAATGTGCTTCTAATTAAATCACTTTATTTGGGGGGAAACAGACCTCATCAGCCGGTTGTTTTAGTGTTTTACTGTTTCCATGACCTTACTTATTATTATAGATTTTTTTTTTTTAGTTTTATGAACGAGGAATATATTGTCAATGTTTTGTAAACAGCACTATAAATTAATACTTACAAAAGATGGCAGTTAAGTAGTTGATGTTGTTCGTGATGCTAATAAATAATAATAATAATAATAATAATAATAATAACGACTCTATCTGAGTCAAATCCTAACTTTGCCACTTGTTTGCTGTGTGATTTTAGGCATGTTATTTGACTTTGGTTCCTATTCTGTAAAATGTCTCTGTTTACACATGTGTAAATTGGCAATAAAAACAATAGCTTGTTCTGAGGATTAATTCATAACTCAATGCATGTAATATGGGTTTTTATTTTTCTATTGAACAGAAGTTGCATATACTTTGAGCCAGTTCTTTTTCCTGAGCAGACGCACTCAGTCAATTTGGAGTGTCCTCCTTCCTTCCATCCAAGGATTGAGTTTATGTTCTGGGAATGTGGGAGTGATGGGGTTTTGGTGGGGGCGCCGGAGAGGTCAGATCTGAGCCTTAGTCTTTGCTGATACTCTGGTCTGCTGAGAAGAGCTGTCCACAACCCCTGGTCTTCACCATCCAGGTCACTTCTGACGTAGGTCTGATTTGTCCACTTCCTTTCTGTCCCCTGTCATAAAGAGAAACTGCCAGGCTGTTTGAGGCCCCAGCTGTTTCGACTCCCTAGGCCTCTGTTCCTGCTCTGACCCCACGGCCGGCCCTGGGCTCATCCCCTGGAGTGGGCTCCCGGGCTCCCCACATTCTCTGGCTCCACAAATCTGTCTGACAGTTGGCCTGTGTAATGATAATGACCTAGGGAACAGATTTAGAAACACAGAAACTTAACTATCTATAAGATTTATCGATACTTCCAATTTTTGGAGGGAGAAAGGATTAAGGACTTTTTTTTTCAGATTTCAAAGTTATAATGTGTGGTTTGAAAGGAGAAAGAACAGAGAAAGCTGGTTACAGGTCTGAGGGAATTTAGGAAGAAGGGGAAATAGAGGGAAAAGAGAGGGAGGGGACGTGTTTGGGTGAAATCCAGTGGCCCCCAAATCCCAGTTTCCCACCCACAGAGGCCTAGGATGTGTAGAGACATGACCAATAACCGTGGGCTCTTACTCCCTCTGAGGGCTGGCCAGGGGACATTTGATCCTGGATATTTGATCAGTTGGCATTATGACCATTGAACTAAAGACACAGGTGGGAGAAGCCTGCGACCCTAAGAAGGGACTCCAGGTGTTCAGCACCATTCTGTGAATATGATAGATTAGTGATTCAGTCAGATGGAAAAATATCTGGAATGTGTTAGGGAGGAGAGATCACTTCTGCCTAGTGACTCAAAGAAAGGGAAGAGAAAGGAGGAGGAGGCAGTATTTGATTTAGGCCTGGGAAGATACGTGGGGTTTTAAGCCAAAATAAATTTTGCCAAGAAAAATTGTTCTTGCCCTTTTGTATCCAAAGCTTATCTTTTTCATCCTCCACTTTAATAAATAGAACAGCATTTTTGTGGTGGAAAGCAGGTAGACTCTGGAGCCATCAGAGTCAACACTGTCAGTGAGTAGCTGGATGACCTCGGCAATCGATCTCCGGACCTCTGTTCAGTGACCATGACTTCTTCCTTCTGGGGTGAGAGGATCAAGGGCTGAAACCTACATGACACACCTAAAGCCTCGGGCTCAGCACCTGTAACAACTCAATAAATGCTATTTCTTTTCTCTCTGCTGACCCCAGAGCTTTACCATAAAGTTTATTAGTGTGTACTAGGGACTTGGATGGAATTTCCACGTTCTATAAGTAAATACTTTATAATCATAGTCTCCTTTCTCCTGGAAGCATCTGTAAAATGCAAGACTTCAATTGCCATTGACACCTAACCCAAATTTGTATAATCATAAAATGTAACAAAATAACAGAGCCTAAAGTGAGAAATCTGTTTGATATTACAGTTTTTTTTTAACTGCTAAATTCTACAGAGAGCTATTTTTAAAGGAAGGACTTTTGCAGAGCAAACATATATGATTTTGCAAGTGGTTGCATTTAGCAGAAAATGCAATGTTTTTCTCCCAATTGACCTCTTAAGAATTAGGTCACGGAATATACTCTGTTCCCCCAAATTGGACTTTGATAACATCTAATTGGACAGTTATGTTTCTCTGTTAGATCTTTTTGTTCTTGTTGCATTTACCTCAGCTCAAGAAGAATGAGGCAGCTACCTTGGAGCACAACTAAAAGGCATGACAAGTTTGGGGAATGGGAAAGGAAACTAGAAACTAGTGTTCTCAGCCAAGCAGGTTCAGCTTGAAGGTGTAGAGATGACAAATGTCTGAGTAAAATTTTTGCATCGACACGGAGGGGAACTTCCAGCTTTGTTACTGCAGGGTATGGAGTTGAGGAGAAAAAAATTAAAAGAAAATCCGCTATAAATGGAGAGAAAGTCAAAGTACTGGTCTATAAAAAGTCTGATTTTGACTTGTGCTAAGGTAAAAGCCCTTTGTAATTATTTTACGCAGCCCCATGCCTGAAATAACTCTGAAATCACAAAACAATAGAATTTATGATAAATGAAGAACATCTTGGATTAGCCCTAAAGAAGGATGTTATAATAGAGCAAATAATTGTATCTGAATAAATTACTCATTAATGATATCTGCACAGCACAATGGAGTATCAGCAGAAATAGGTTCGTCTCGGGAAACTACGGATGGGCTGACTTTTGACTTGGTTGTTACTCCAAATAATTCAAATCCATCTCTCCTCTGCAAGACTTCTCTCTTGACAGTGTTAGGCATCTAGCTCATTTTGTGCTGTTTGACCTGTATCATGCATTTTTGTATAACTGAACTGTCTTTTTAAAAATCTAAGCCTGCCATGTGTAATAGTTTAGCCGAGGGTATGGGTTCACTTTGGTTTTCAAGTTATGAAACCATGTATGAACACCACTGAGATCAGGTGGATTTTTGTGTGAATGTTTTCCTACTGGTTTGCCTTTTGTTTTGCCTTCATTGGTTACTTGGATTCCATTATACTATTAATTCATTGCTTGAGAGCAGTAGATTCAGGGTGTTATTTCCTGCGATGTTGTGGATTTCCTTTGGTGTCTTACTCTGCCTGCTTCAGCCTCTTCTTTGTCGTGGCACTTTTTGGTTTTTTCGTTCTTTCTGTTTTCTCATTCAGATTGTATGCTGATTCTAATAAACAGACTGACTTGAGAATTCTCAAATGCTACAAGAGTCCAAAGGAGAGGGATATTCTGTCTGTTTGGGGCAATTCTTGAAGAGCTAGCAGATGAATGGGGCTCTTGAAAGACCTGTAATGGGTAAAGATGGGGGATGAGCAATCTAAGCAGAAAGAATGACAGGACCATGAAGGCAGCAAATATGAGATGTTTTTAGAAAATGATATATTTTACCAAAAAAATTATATATATATAAAGGGAAGTAAGGGGATTTTTGTCTCCAAGTTAAAACTGTTACCGACCAGGGTTCTTGGACACCATAATCAATAGAAGTTGACAAGAGGCAAGACAAGGAATTCAGGCAAGGCTTTACTGGGACTCGTGCTACCGCAGGAGGGAATGAAAACAAGAAACAGGTGCCTTCCTCACTCTCCAAGGAGGGCAGTCTGGTTCCTCAAATGGGGTAAGGGTGGACAGAGCTGGAGTGATGGCTTAGGTGGTCTTCCCACCCCCTCGGTGGTGCTGTGTGCAGGGCTCATGCCCAGACCCCTGTTTTTGCTCCTGAAACCTCAGAAGTAGCTGTTGGGTTTTTGGTCTTTTTGTATCTTGTTGTTCAGAATTTGCCCCAACAGTGCTTGAATGCAGCTATTTTCAGTCCCTTATAGTTTCTTCCTATTCTGTTGCTGGAGGAGATGTTTGTCCAGGTGTAAGCCTTGTAACAAAGGATCCCAGGTCTCAGGTCCTAGGCTGTCTCAAAACCTTGTAACAGACAGGATGAAATAAAGTTCACATGGTATATTTTCTTGTTTAAAATCTATAGCGGTTCAACTTGGAGTAAAAGTAAAACACTAAAATAAAATCTCATAGTAGTTTCGGTATGAAAACAAAAAAAAAGAACGAACCACATTAAGCATTAGTTCTTGAAAAGTGGTGACCTGTACATGCTCTTTAGACAAGCTCAGTGCAGTTTCCTAGGCTAGGGAAAGGTTATCATTAGCCAGAGTGTATCCTCGTCCTTCAGTGGCTTTAGGTTCCTCTGCCAAAGGATAGAGATGTAAGGCGTCCAGGCCTTCAACTGTGCGACTCAGAGGGAAACATTCCCTGGAAAGGAGCAGAGGGCTGTTGACAGGTCCGCACAGGCTTACCACTTGCCCCTTGTGGTAAGTGATTATAACTCCACTTGCTCTGCCTGTAGAGGCAAGTCATGGATTAGCTGGTTCCAGAAATATAAAAATAATGCATCCAAAAATGTCGTGTACAACTTAAATTTGAGGATTTCTGAGAAGGAGGCCAAAAGAGCAAAAACTCTGGAGCAGAGACTTTTGGATACCAATATTATATCATCCTCAGTATCCATCATTCTCAAACTTGTTTTTATTATAAAATAATCTTTCTGTAACTAGAAATTTCCAAGGCTTAGGCTGCAATCACCATGATAGCTTATATTTTCATGAAATAGTAACTTCTGCTGCTCTAAGATGAGGATAAAATTAGAAGGGTTTTCTGATAATAAAGAAAAAAAAGATGAAAGAAAACATTACTTATGTAGCGTAATTTTGGGAATGAAATGTTTAAGCAATTTGAGAAAAGTGAACCTGTACTGATAACAACAACAACAAAAAACCTATCATTTACTTTAATGGGAAAAGTTCGAATTTTCTGCAAAGTTGGGTCAAATCCCAAAATATCATACGACTTTGTAACAGAAAAATGAAGACCATCTATTGTATTCAAACCATGTGTTCAGGCTAAAAGGTAATGTTAACTGGATTTCCTGAATCCAGCCTAGAAACTTTGATACCCTTCTGTGTCATGTGGGAGCTTAGAAGCCTCTCCCTACAGAGCCTCAGACCTGCCTTTTATCAGTCGGGGCTGCCCCGTCTCCAGTTGTGTTCCTATTAAATTCTGTTGTAACTCCTCCTGGTAAAGGGACAGAAGTTGGCTATTCTTTCCTTTGTCTCTTTTTTACAGCAGTGTGGCTCAATCTGGGCCTGCGAGTTTCAGGAATAAATAGATATTATGGGCCAAGAAAAGAGTAAGAATAGAATTGTGAGGTTGACCTAGCTATTAGAGAGTCTTTTCCCCTATTAGCGAGGAAGAACACCTGCTTCAATCTAATAGGGTATTTGAGGCCAAGCTTTGGAGGCCCTCAGACATCCTGAAATATAATTCAGATAATATGGAAAAGATACATACTAAAGGTCCTGAAATTCAGCACCTGCAGATTTTCATCTCTTCCTGTTACAAAGCGACAATGATTGTCATTCTCTTATCTGTGCACAAAGCATGAACGTTCATTGATGGCTGTTCTTCCTGAATTATATTTGGTCTATTGGGAAAAACCCATCTGTAATCAGTTTAGAAACAGAGTGAGTCAGGATGGAATGTCACAGATGGGCAGCGAAACTTTAATTCATGCTTTTATGATATCCAACTCGGATGACAGTGGTTCGCTGCCTCCAGGTCTCCTTCAGGTGTCCCAGGACAAAGCAGAGATAGCTTGTACAAGTAGGCAACCCTTGAGATTTGAAGCATGCAGAGTCTGATCAATGAGTACCTCTGTTTGGAGAGTTTGGTTCTGGCGGCCGGTTAAGGCTGGGAGTGACTGTACGGGGTCCTAGGGATGTGTTTTTGAAACACGGTGTGAATCCAAATGAGTTTCAGGTTCCCTATTGTCCAAGCCCAATTCTACTTAGCTGTAAAAACGTGGGGCTTTCATTTGTTCAGAGCTGTTACTATAAATCACGATGCCCCGTAGCTTTTGCAAGCAGTTCTGGAATAGATTTTCCCCAGAGTCAGATTACTAGACCTGTTGTTGAATTTAGGTCAAGACTAAAGTGACTCATTTAATTTGCTTTCTTTTAACACTACGGTATTCTTTCTGTGCCTTTCATGTGGCTTTGCCAGGATTTTTTTTTAAATTTCTTTAAGATCTTAGCATTCTAGTATTTCGAAGGTTTAAAATAAACACGGTTGAAATCTTGTTTAGAAGTGTGCTCCTACCAGTTTCTCACTGGTGAAAGAGAAAACCAAACAGTCTGTGTTTTCCTTTTAATGTAGTTCTATTGTATAGGATATTTTATCAACATGCTCTATCGTTTTTCACAGGTATATTTTTACCATGAGTTCCCAAGTCGTCCTATTTGTTTGTTTGAAAATAAATTACTAAAATGCATTTCCACTTTTCACCCCTCAATATCTGGAAACAGAAATAGCAATAAAAGCCTTTATTTCTGAATATGGTCACATAATTCTGTCTTTATCTACTGGCATTTTCCCATTTCTTTTAAACATGTTTCCTCTGCTACTTAGACACACATTTGTCATATGCATTGAAGTCAATGTAATTATTCTCCCTTTGTAACTCTTGGTCGTATTTTGCTTGTGATAGCAGCTTTATGCAAATTCAGTATCAGGAATACCTATTTTAAGAAAAAGATATACTATTAGTGACTAACTACCATGGTTTTAGTCTCCCTGAGCCTGGGATATCCCTTGGCTCTAGAATTATCGGTAGCACAAAATGAGACACAGCAATGAGATATGAAATTGAAAACGTGGAATTCACAGACAAGCCACTTTGCTTTTTGAGCTTCTTGTCTCATCAAATAGACAGTTGTCATTCACACCTCTCACGTGGCTTTTGTAAGGATTAAAGGAGACATGAAAGCACTTCAGAGCTTATAAGACTGGCAAATATTAGTTATTTACAATAGTGCTCTAGTGAAGGAATGCTTTTATTGACAAGAAACAAAGTATTTAACAACTAAATTCAGCATTTACTTCTGAAGCTCAGAATTTCTTCTATTAACAGCTGAACCCCTCCCTTCTGTTTTTTGCTATATATTCTCTTCCACTTTGGGGGTTTATTACTAGGGTGAAACAATGCATATGTGTGACCTCTAAATTGTATTTTAGTAAAAATCAGATAATAAAGGCTTTAAACACGTTTCCAAAAAATATAGCAGGAAAGATGGAGCGTGAAAATATATTCTAATAAAGCCCTTTTGAAATATTTCACTCTGTTAAGTTCACAATAATAAAAATAGTCACATGTTTCTAGTCACAAAATAGACTGGTAATTACGTTAGCATTAATACACAATCCATTTCTATACTTTTCTCCAGTATTTTTTTAATGTTGTGAAAACGGAACATGGGGTTGTTCTTTTTCAGTTGATCTGAGAGCCATTTTTGAACTTACCTCTGAGCCTTTCCTAGTAAGGGAAACAGAATTCCAATGCCCGAGTGTGCAGATGGTACCATGTGGAATGGGATGGGAGAATGTGGTGTCATTCCCCTCCTGGTTCCTCTGCTCCCTGGTCTGTTGGGTGAAATTGCCCCCTTTGTCTGAGAAATAAAGGAGGCCTATCTGCAGCTTTTCCTAGGGAATCACAAATGAGCTCCTCTAATTCTGTGGACCAAGTCCCTTTTCAGTCCAAACAGAGCAGGTACCTTTACCGTAGGGACACAGACCCCAACAATAGGGCAGCTTTTCTCTTGAACTATTTTAAGCTCGTAGGCTTCTTGGCTTCTTGCTTCATTGTGTTTTCTCCCTGAACTTTCCACTGAGTTTTTTCTTCTTTCCTTTGTATTTTATCATAGCCAAACTCATATGTATTAATTTTTAGAAAAGAAATATTTATAAGTGGGGAGACTTGTCTCAGAGATAAACTAATAATTCATGCATGTCCATGTAACACTCACTCTACTTGACAGTAATTCTGGGTATTTAACTGTAAAACAATTTCATAAGTCTTCATCCAGGACCAATTCACTTAGCTTTAAAAAAGCAAACAGGAGACGTGATATTGCATGACTACTAACAGTATAGTAAGCTCACCCTGGCGAGCTTCCAGTGTCCCCAAGTTACCTCTAGTGTTTGTATATTACTTTGTCATTGACCAGCTAATAAACCTTTCCTTCCAGCTGGTACAAAATGGAAGTAAAGAGAAACAGCTAGCAAATGCACATATGGAAAGGCATGGTTGGACTTCCTTTTAGAGACTGGGTTGAAATAATTATAGGGAATAAATGAGCTCTGGATATTTCACTTCATATAGGATGAATTCTTCTCTGTATGACCCTACTGCTGTCTCATCCCCTAAGTCAATATTTTTTAACCAATATTGGCTGAACATACGCCATGGGGTAGGTGCTTTGGTAAAAACTGCACATACAGATAGAGTTCTTGGCTTAAGGAACACATGAATTACTTATTTGACTAGAATATTTCACTTGTAGGAAATGTATTTGGGGGGAGGTTTCTGTCTAAATAACATTGAAAATAACGAACATGTACTGTCTTGTAGAGGCAGCACAGCATAAGGGTTAAAGTGTGGACTCTAAATGTCACCTCTCAAAGGGCTGAACATTGGAAAAGTGGTTTAATCTTTCTGCTGTTTGCCTCTTAATCTACAAAAAAAAAAAAAACCCAGAATCTACAACAGAATCTAATTCATAGGTTTGTTATAAGGCTTAAATGAGTTAATACTCATATAGTACTTAGAATAGTGCCTGGATTCAAATAACTGTTTAAAAATAAATGAAATGCCTTACTTATCGCAAGGACAGATCTCACATTAGAAATTTCAAGACTTTATGAGCCATCTATTGTTGTGTGACACATTTCCCCCAAACCTAGCAGGTTTAAACAAAAATCATTCTTTGATAGACTCCAGTGGGTCAGAAATCTTCAACCTGGTGTGGCTGTGTGTCTCCAACAAGGACATCTCATGAGGCTGCAACTAAACTGTTAGCAGAGGCTACAGACATCTCAGGTCTTGATGGAGGAGGACTGACTTCTAAACTCATCCCTGTGACTATGGTCATGTCTCTGGTCCTCACAGGCTTTTGGACGGAGATGGTTCCATTCCATGTGGGCCTCTTCATGCATCACTAGCATGGAGACTGGCTTCCCTCCAAGTGAAGGAAGAGTGAAAAAAGCCACCAAAATAGGAACCGCCACTATGGAAGGAAATGAGATTCCAATACTTTTACTGTATTCCACTCACTAAAAGCAAATCACTAGGGCCAGGCTACACTCAAGGGGAGATAATTTACATAAGGGCATGAATACCAGGAAATAGGGTTCCTTGGGGACCATCTTAGAGCCTGTCAATCTTTGTGATGGTGTGCATTTTTTAAGCCTATAAATGTTAAATATAATGCATTTCCATTAATGGAGAGCCTGAAGTCCGTTGTCTCTCTTTGAAATATACAAAGACCTCTGGTTACTTGAAGGTGCCAGACAGATGTATTCTTGTACTGGAAACTGACACTCTCTTTTCTCTGACTCTGTTTCTTGTTGAGCAGAGTCTCGAGCACCAATTATCAGTCCAAAGGGGAGGTGGGGTGGCTCCAACTCCTTGTAGAATAGCTGAGATCATTACTATACCAGCCAGCAGGAACTGAAGTCCAGCCGCTCTGACTTGTATCTTGGTATGGAAGTCACCAAGGAAAGCACAACCCAGACAAGCACTGGATGGGGCAATGGTTTCCTTTCATAGAGAAGAGACGGCTCAAGATCAGCCTTAATGGTGGGCACTCGTCCCCCGCGGCCAGCAGGTCTCTTCCCACAGCGACACCAGGTGATTCACCCACATACACGCCTCTCATGCCACAATGGGGAAGGACCCCTTCACCTCCCCAGAGAGGGGATATGCCAGGTGCCATATCTCACACACAGGCTTAAGCAGAACACAAGAGCCCACACTGGCCCGAAACAAGGAGCGATACTCCCACACAAGGTGATAAACCCAGCGCAGGCTGTGTGGGTTCCTTATCTCTCAGTAAGGAAGTGCTCCAGGTCCCAGGCGCATCTTCTGCAACGCCATGGTGGAAAGATTGCATGCCCCAGACTGCCATTCCCACCATTTCTGTTTGTGTGTGGTTTGTGGTGGTTGTACCCGCTCTGATTTGTGGGTTTGCCATATAGAATTTCGTCAAGACGATGGTTTTTGGAACAGTTCTCAGAGAAACTCAAACAGAATGGCTTCTTTGTCTTCAAGGTCCCCAAAGTATGATTCACAGAGTATTTTTACCCTTTTGAGAAACTATATTATGTTTTAAATCATTCATTTAAAACTAAACCATGAGGATGAGTAAAAGAATGATGAGAAGAAAAGTGCTCATTGAATTCAATATGGATAATCAACCCATACCATTCAAGACAAAAAGAGGGAACCAGGGTTGTAAGACAAGGGTGTTACGATTTCATTTGGCCCTGAGGTATGCAGGTATACTCTGTTTCACCCAGGTCAGTTCCATCAAACGCACATAATTGAGATTTTGTTGCCAGTGAACTTAAGTTGTGTGGACTTAGACAATTCTCCTTAAACCACATGCTTTGTGTGAACTCTCTCTGAAGTGTATTTGGAAGAGACAACACTTTTTTTTTTCTTCCTGGTTGTGTTTCAGTTAGAATTCCTGTGCTTATCTTGTGCCTGACCTTTTTTTAAAACCTTAATTTAAATGAGGAGCAAAGAATTCAACATTCTCTTACAAGGTCCATTCTAGCTGCAACGTCTTTCAATTCTGTGTGTCAAAAAGGTGCAGAGCTGTTCTGAATTGTGAGTAGGGTGGCAATGAACTCTTGTTTTCCCAGAATGTGAATGGTAAAGCACGATCTCTAAACATCACAGTAACAACAAAATTATGCTTCTGTATTTTTTTTTTTTATGAACAGAGAGAGTAGAGAAACTTCATCATGAGAGATTTACTGTCTAGGTTAAAAACATTAATTTAACCAATAAATAATTTTTGTTAGAAGAAATAATTATTTCTCTTGTCTCTGATTAGATGATTGGCATAACCCCAGCTTCTCATCCTATTTCTTCCCTATTATTTCTGAACCCTTCTTTATTAATTATCCTCTCTTTCTATTTCATCTTCAATTTCTCCCTCCCCACTAGCCTCTTCCCTTTGTCTATAAAACAAAATAGACACAGGGAACTACATGCAATATCTTGTAACAACCTGTAATGAAGAAGAGTATGAAAGGAAACATATGTATGTATATGCATAACTGGGACATTGTGCTGTACACCAGAAATTGACATGTTGTAACTGACCAGACTCTAATTAAAAAAAATTTTTTAATAGAACTTTTCCTTTGGTCATGCTATTTCCTCAGAAAACTGGCTTCTGATGTGCCTTTTAAATTAACAAAATTTTTGGAAAGAGAACATTTTTCCACCCTCAAATATTCAAATTCTGCTTTATCCTGTCATTCTTTAACCCTCAACAATTTGCCTTCTACCATAAGTCTGTAACAACGGCTTGACAAACCTGAAGGTCACATGATTGTGTAACATAAACAACGGTCCTTTTCCAGTTTGCATCCTCCTTGAGAAGCCCTTGACAGCTAACACTAAGGCCCCTCATCCCTTTTGCAGAAATCAATCACCCTGGCTTTCTTGACACAGTGTTTGATAGTCCTCCTGTCTCTGACTTCTTTATCTGTTGCTATTAATTTTCTCCCTGTTATTCCAAAAATTCCACCCATCTTTCCTAGCTGTGTAGCCTTCTCTTGGCTTTTATAGCCACTCTCCTAACTTTAACCATTTCTTTCTGCTATTCCACTAATCCTAATCTCTCTCCTGAATTCTACACCTTATACTTTTGATTTAGAGAAATTTGGACATTAAAAATGTCTTAGTCATACTGATTACCTAT